GCATAAAACAAATCCCTGGAGGCAAGGGGAAAACTCCCCCGCTGCCTGGATTTCCTCCTGCATCCCTGAAGCTCCCCAAAAAAGCTGACTAATAATGTATTTATCAGCATTCAGATACTCAGACATTCAGAGGTAGGGGTGAGGATGCCCTGAACTGATCCTATTCCAGGGCCTGAGCTGGATGCTACGCTGCAGAGGTGACTTCCAGCCACAGAACTGTTACACTGCTAGGTTCCCATCTCAGCAGGGGATGCAGTGATGCTCTGGGCCAGCTGTTCCCCACAGCAGCATTTTGGGCAGGACAAGCCTGCTTACAGAGCCATCCCACTGCACAGCCTGCCAAAACCTCCCCACGAATCCCATGGGAACCAGTTTTCTCCTGAGCCAACCGGTGCTTCCTGCTCCCGAGGCCTGATCCTGTGGGATGCTGAGCATTCTTTGTTCCATTTTTAAATTAATGAGGTTTGAGCAACGCAGAGTCAGAGACTTGAGGGAAAAAAATAAAAGAGGTGCTTGATGCTTTTGGTGTTTGTGTCCCCAGCTGGGAAGAAGAGAGGGAAATGTTAGGTTTGGGGGAAGATTTGAGAGACATCCATCACCTGGAGAACAGTTTTTAATTTGGGCATTTTAACAGGGGCTCGGCTCCATGGGGATGCCACGTCCCACACTCCAGCCTTCGGGTCACACCAGCGCTGTGTGCCCATTGAGGAGCAGCCCTGCAAGTGGCAGAGCTGCCATACTGCCTGCTGCTCCCATCCCATCCCAACAGAGTCCCCCTGGGGTTTCTAGGATGCAGCCTGGGATGTGGGGACCCCCAGAATCCTCCCTTGTAGCCAAGAGAGGACAAAGGAAAGTATAAACATGATCGCAACAAACCCCAGTGCCTGTGGGGCAGGCTGAACAAAGGAGGCTGGAGGAGCTGGAACTGGCACACGGCACAGGACCTCCACCTGGGAGCAGAGCATTCATTCAGCGCCGTCCTTCACCCTTCCCCATGCATTCAAACCATACCTGGAGCCCGATGGCAGCATGGCAGCTCAGACACAGAGCTCTCCCAGCGCTGTGCCGTGTGCCCCCTGCGCAGCAGGCAGTGAGCAGGGCACTGGGATCCTCGCTGCAGACTCCTTTCTTCTCTCAGCCAAACAGCAGGGAGTTTTCTGAGAAACTGCCCACAGGGAGCGATCCCTTTTTCCAGTCATTAACCTTACACATCCCTCGCATTACCGGAATACTCTGGATGTGTAAGTTGCTGCACTGAGCTAATTCTTCCAGGTGACTCCAGGCGGCTTTAAATGGGCTGCACAGCGAGGGGATCTGAACTGCTGGAGCTGAAAGCACTCTGAGTCCAACGTGCCCAGCCTCCACCGGGGCTGTGAACCTCAGATGTCACCGTGTGAGCACTGAACGGCAGTGGGGACATGGAGCCTCTGGAGCTCTGGTTTCCAACCCACAGGCGGTGGGTGCCTGGGGTCCATTAGGAAGGAAAGTAGTGCAGATCACCTGAGATCGACCATGCAGGGGAAAAATATATACGAGTCAGAACTCAGGAGCAGCTGAGAAACACTTTTAACAAAAACAGCCACAGAAGACATCACATTTTACTCGCACTGGGGATGGGTGGTCACCTCTAGAGACTGCACAAACAGGGACAGTGCAGGCAGCAGCCTCCTGCTGAACCTCTGCTTTGGGGTACTGCAGGGTTCTGCTCCTCTGGGAGATTCTGTGGCAATGGAGATGTCACAGTCTGTTGTTTTTCCCCAGCTGCCCTGAGACTGGGAGAACTCTGAATATGAGAACGATTTTGGAGCATCCAAATGTAGGATGGTGCTCACAGCCTGGCACATCACTCAAACAGGCCTTGCTTTCTGCACACAGACTGGTGCCCAGGGAGGTGGGGGAATCCCTGTTCCCCGGAGGTGTTTCAGAGCCATGGAGATGTGGCACTGAGGGATGAGGTCAGTGGTCCTGGTGGGATGGGTTGAGGTTGGACTTGGAGATCTTGGTGGGCTTTTCCAACCTGAACGATTCTATGATTCCATTCTATGGTTCCACGAATCTAAGCTCTGCAAAGTCAGCCCCATACAACGTACTGATCAGCAGCTTTACCTCCTGTCATGGGGTGGGGACCACTGAGCATGATGGAAGAGAGACTTTACATCCTACAGCAGAAGTCTGCATGATGGACAACGTCAGCCACATAGGTAAAGCTCCATTTACAATCAGAAGTATGAAATAGCAACACTGAAAGTCAAAGGCCACGTGGCAATTCACAGAATAACGGCCCACACCACACACATCTGGGAAACCCCTCCACAAAGAAGCATCTTGAAATACGTCTTGAAACACTGGCATAAGGTATAGAAAGCAGTGTTGTAACGCTTCTGAGAACAACACAGATTTAAATGGTGGCAATGCCTCAGTCTAAGCTTGGAGAGGCTCAAAATGCCAACGTAGACTTGCTGCTGCCCTCCTCAGGTGCTGCAGGAGTTCTGTCCTCTGTGATTTCAGGACCCATCCTGGCACTGAGAAGTCACAAAAGGTAAAGTGGAGTTCATAGAGAAGTGCTCAGGAGCATTTGCTGCCCTTGTTTGCTCTTCGGGATTCTTTTTGGTTTTGATTAAGAAATGATACCATTCCACGGCTTCCCTGGAAGGGTTTAGCGTTGTTTTCTTTTTGTCCCAACTATTAGCTGGCTCTTAATGAACTTGGTGCTTGAAGCCTTAGTCCCGCTCTGAAAAATGCCTGCAAGCTCTGCTCCAGCTGTGCTGTGTACAGAGTGCTGACACCTCATGGCCAAGAAAGCAATTCAGATAAGACCGTTTTCCAGGATATATGGGCATAAATTCTCCATCTGCTATAAGGCAAGAAAAGAGGTTCATTTATCAAGAAGTTTGTAATGGAGGGACCTGAATATGCCAAAGATAGGAAGGAAGAAATCCAGAAATGCTTCGAATTCTTGAATTACAAACACACGGCTGTATCAGGGCCCATTATTCACAGCTGTGGTAGTTTGAGCTTCCTTGACGCTGAAGGTCAGCTCTAATGCACTTCTTCAGCAGCACGGCTCAGGTACTGAACCACACGTGGCTGAGCTCATCGTCTCGGTGAGCAGCATTCTGCTTCAGTTGGCTGCTGGTTCCCCAGCCCTGCTGCTCCGTGGGGCTCTCCCATGGGCAGATGACCTCCTCTGCAGAGTCCTTATGGGTCCTGCTGCTGCCCATCCTCTCCCTCAGAGTCCATGGGGCAGATTCAGCTCTCCAGGGGAATGTCCATTTTTATCTGGAAGAAGCTGTGTTGTGAAGTGAAGACTCATCACGCACAAGGCATTTTCTGATGTGCTCTCTGAGGCAGCACGGAGTCTGGCTTTGAGTTTCCTACCGTTCAACCCCCAAACCCCAAAGCAAAACCCCTGGGCACAAGCCCACATCAATGGAAGATGAAGAAAACTGCAGAAAAGGTGCAGTCTGATTCCTCAGAAACAGAACTGCTGTGCAGCACAGCCTGGCAGATAAAGAGCCCTCAGGTTGTGAATTTACAGTATGGACTCATCCCCTCTGCCTGCAGCACGGCTGGTTATAAAATACACATACATTAATGTGGAGGTTAAGAGCAAGTTAATTTACCACGGGACGAGGGCAGCAATGGGTCACAGCAGTGACAGACTGCCCCCAAATCCCCATTTTCACAGCGTCCCACTCCAAACAACACACTTTTCCAGGTTCTCTCTCAGGATTTCTGCTTCCTCGCTACTTTTGGGTCTCCTCTGACTTGTGGATCATTAAACCGCTCCTGAAGCAGAGCTCGAGAACCAGCACTGACACAAACACACAAGCGGTCTTCAAAACTCAGGGATCGGAAGACCTGCGAGCTTTACAGCATCGCCAGGAGACACGAGTGCAGCAGAACCGCCAGCACCTCCCGGCCATCGGAGGAAACGCTGCACACAGGCAGCAAGCATGAGGAGCAACGCCGAGAGCTGCCTTCAGCAGAGCGCTGGGCGGCTGCCATCTCAGCCGCGGCTCCTACCTGCTGACCGCCATGCTGCTCCGAGGCAGCTGCTGCTCCTTCCTGCCCAGCGGCTGCAGCTTCCCGTGGGACACTGGGCATCTTGGCAACAGCGCGGCCGAGACGGCTGTGTTGAGGCAGCCCCTCTTCAGCAAGCGGCCGAAGGAGAACGCAGCCATGTGAGGCTGCTGGGCGCCATGGCTCCCGCCTTCCCTGCGGCTGAGAGAACACGGCTGTGCCCGGCCCTGCTGGGCTCCTGCTGCAGCTCGCTGCTCTCCAGCGCCGTGCTGATGGCGGGGGGCAGGCAGTGCTGTGGGGCAGTGCTGTAGGGCTGCCTGCTGGGGCCAATGATGGGTCGGATGAGGGGCTGGGGAGGCAAGGTGTGGCTGTGGGGAGGAAAAGGAGAGGTTTGGTCAGGGCTGGTTGTGTCCCCAGGTGTGAGGATGGGGGCTCATCACCGCCTGCTGGTCCCACAGCTCCTGCAGAAGAGCGGAGTTGGTACCTGCGTGTGGAGGAGCCGTTTGCATGTGGAACGCGCCAGGCTCGTTACTGCAGGCCTCAGCGGGGCTGCTGCTCCAGGTGACGCTGCTGTAGGAGACATCAGTTTGTCCACACAGTGCCTGCCATCCTGAGCACGTGGCTATGAACGGCACAACGGCACGAGCTGCTGGGTGCCCAGCAAATAGGGCAGCGAGCTCAAGCCCCTGTCACTGATGTAACAGAAGACGGTGTTACATCTCAGACTGAAGGCCCATGTCTCCAGTCGATGCTGCAATGGCTCAGGCTCAGTTACCAAAGCCCTCGGGATGAATAGGAGAGATTAATCCACAGAGCACATGCTGCAAACCAGGGTCCCCCACCCAGCTACCAGGGCCTCGCTGCCAGCAGGGTGAAATACAGCTCAAGACTTCAGATGGAAGTACTGAGAGCAGAAGTACATACAGAAAACACATGGCAAAGAGATGGCAGTGAAGGATGAACACACTGAGACAGAGAAGGATGAACAGTTTTTGTTTGTTTGTTTGTTTTCATTTTCTACATTTATTTTTATTAGATAAATGAATGCATGAAAGCGACGGCCAAGAAACAAACAGCCTACTGCTCTGATTTCCAATGGAAACAATTTCTTGGCTGACATAAAGCGAAGTTCAGTTTGTGCCACGGTCACACTTTATACCACGCAACCTTCCTCTTTAGGGACTGAGCAGCAAGGGACCAAGGAATGGCACACTGCGTCACGCCAGCTTACTCAACCTAGAAGCAGAACAGAGCCAGCTTCTACCTGCAAGTGTGGGACTGGAGTGTCACAAGCATGGGGACTGCAGAGCAGCATTAAGCCAGCAGCAGCATTAACTCTTGCCAGTGGGACAGCAAGGTAAAGCTGAGATGTTAAAAAAATAAAATCAGAGAAAGGAATGGAGAGAGGTAACATAAAAAGCACAGCTACAAACAAAACAGAAGTAGAATCAGAGGGACTGACTGGAACACACAGATTTGTTATTTATTATTTATATCCTGACTTGATCTTCCATATGTTACTACTACTGGCAATCCCAACACGTTCAGTGCTCCATGTTACACAAGCTCTGAAGAGTGTAGAGCTCATCACACCCTAACAGCTTCAAACCAACCCTGCCAAGCTCTTCAGTGCTCTCGTCAAGGTAAGCTGATGGTGCTCAGCACCTCGTGTGAACAAGCCTTGTGGTTTTATGCATTTACATCTGAGTCTGCTCCCCCTTTATGGTACTGCAAAATTTACCATTGATTCCTTTGGGAACCTGAACAGATTTAGCAGTCAGGCCTTGACATCAGAGCAAAAGACTCATGCAACTTGATTTCAATTCCTCTAAAAACATTACATCCCCATTAGGTTAACAAGGTCATGAAGATCTCCCATAGCTCAGCTGCAAAACGAAGGAAGCTGGTTCTGCAAGGACACCACATCAGAACATGTAGCCCTGATTCTGCACCTGATGCACAGGGGAAGCAAGAATTCTGGTTCAAAGCTGCCTGGGCCTGAGGCCTGGCTGTCCCCCTCTCAGTGAGAAGCTGGTCCATATGCACCTGAGTCCCCCCTCACAGCCACGTTTCTCTACTTTTGGTTTTCTGCAATTTCATTCCAGTTGTAAAAATGGATTCACGATACCAAGAGGAGTTAAGAAGTTTCCTGTACTTCAGCTCTTCCCATCCAGTTCCTCTGCTTCCCCTAGCTTCTAACAAACAAGATTTTCTGCCTCCCCACCCCCACCCCACTGCCTTTACTGAGTTCTGCAGGAATCTTCCCAGTTCTGATAGTCATCAGCCTAACCCAGACAGGCTGGGGTTTCCCAGAAAAGTCTGGAATCTCCCCAAGCTCTTTAGTGCTAACAGAGTTGGTTAGATTTCCTATTCGAAGGAGCAAAAGAGACAGTAGAAATTGAGAAAAAAAAACACCAACAAAAAACAAAAATCACCTCTTAAACTTGAAATCAGCTCTTAACACCTCTGCCCTGGCTCTTCTTTGCCTCTGGGCTACAAACCAGTGACAACTGGAACTACCTCCTGTTATTTTTTTATTTTTTATTTTACAGAAAATAGAATAGCAGGAAAAAGACAAGACAAGAGGCAGAAAGGACTTGATAAAAGAGACACAAAGATATGGCAGCATCTCTCAAGCACTCCTGCAAGCTCCTGTGAGAGACAGCTCTACGCCTGCACACCTGGCTCACTGAGTGCAGGGTAACAGAGAGAGAGCAGAGCTTTCCACTCATCTCCAGTGTACCCGGGGGACTTGGGATTGTCATTAAAATTCAAAGGGACACCCAAACCTTCAGAAACGCTCCTTGCACTGTACTCACAAGAAGCCTATCCTGTTCTTCTGCCTGCAGCCCCTCTGCATTGATTTGGAGGCGCAGGATACTTGAAGTGCCTTAGAGCAGATGGAGAATTTATGTGACCACTGCTCTCAGTGGACGCACACCACAGGAGGGTGCACATCCTGCTCAGAGGATGGACATCAGCACGGACACATTCTGAGGTAGGGTGCCTTGCTCTGCTCCCTGGAGAGTCCTCAACTGCTGCTCCAAAGAAGGCCAGTATGAAACCAAAGGACTGAGACAGCACAGCTTCACTCTACCTTGTGCCATCCCAGCTGCTGGAGGAGCAGAAGTCAGGGAGAGGCACACAGGCTGCCCAGACTCCTGGGGCTTGGGGCAGCCAGAAGCATCCCCCGTCATGGTGTGCACAGAGAGATTTCTGGCCTCATGCTGTGAATCCAGCACAGCCAGCAGCCTGGCTCCAGGAGCATTCCCATGCCTCATGTGCCTGGGAAGTGACATCTGCTGCTGCAGAAGCCATGGCAACATGCAGGAAGCAGGCTGCTGGCAGAGCTGGCCTGGGAAACCTAAAGCAGCACTGACACCTTCAGGAAAGGGAGACGAAGCTCAACACCAGCCTCAGCTTGTATTTTCCCTGTGCTGTGCCCTGCAGGGCTCAGAGCCTACTTAGGAGGTTCCTGCTTGAGCTGGCTCCTCCGATCCAGCTTGCTCATGACCTGCGTGATGTCCACGGTGGCAGCAGCTTCTTTGGCTTTGGCTTCTTCCTCCTGCTGCCTCAGGATGATGGGGCTGGGGCTGGAGCGGAGATGACGGCGTCCAAAGGGGAAATTGGAACTGGGCAGAAGGAGAAAGAAACAGAATGTTACTGAGAGGTAGAAACTCTGCATAGCTGGATGACCCCAGATACAGCAGAGTCATCAATCAGAAAACCTCCTTGGGCTCTGAGGCTATGCATGGGGAGAAAGGCACTTGTCACATTGCCTGCTGCTACCTGACCAGGCAAAAGAAAGGCACCTCATACATTCAATACAGAGGTGCACCTTAGTATTTTGGCTGACTTTCCTCTTAAGCACTTTTGTCTCTTAAAATCTCTCCCAAAGAGAAGCCAGTGAATATTCCATGATATCATTTAATGAGGAGGACAGTGTAGATAAAGAAGCATACATGAAGTGCAAACACAGACTAAGTGGTTTAAAGCAGGGCTTGGTGATTCTGTCATATAGCAGCAGAACTACTAAAAGAGTAAAGGCAGCTTTGTTCCTGGTCTTAATGAGAGACACCAATGCCAGAAGATGTCTAAAACATTACTCTTCTTGTTTTAAGCATCTGAAAGGGCCTGCAGCATATTCTGTACAAGGAAAAGCTGAGAGACTTCTGACTCTGCAGTCTGGAGAAGGAAAGGCTGAGAGGTGATCTGAAAGCTAAATATCTAAAGTGAAGGAGTCCAGTCAGTGGTGGCACACGGCAACAGAAAGAGGCAACAGGCAGAAACTGGAGCACAAGAAGTTCCCTACTGCTTAAGCAAGGAGGTTGGATTTGATTTCTAGAGGTCCCTTCCAACCCCTACAGTTCTGTGATTCTATAACAACTAACTTTCAGCATGAATCCAAACAACGGCCATCAAACTGAGACCAGTATGGGTGGTTCCCAAAAAGGCACCTGCTGTCTGTTTCAGCAGAACCAGCAGCAGTGAAAACAAATGTTAAACCACTTCTGGGGTAGCAGCTCTCTCTGGTTTGTACAGGATGCTGTCTGTGTGTTGTGCATCCAGAACAGGCGCTGAAAGATATGATGGTAATCACCAGGGGTAATCCAGCATCTGCCAGGGACTTTGTGTGGCTCGGGAAAAAACTAACCCAGCCCCAAACAGGAGGGTTTGTTGGTTTGGTGTTTTGTTGGTTTTTTTCCTTTCCACTGACTTGGGCTTTAGAAGAAACAATAGTGTGAAAGTCCATGATTCCTCTTTTTGCTTGCGAGGCTGACAAGTGGAAGAGGAACAGAGAGAAAAGCACATCACCCGGTCCGGCTTTGACAGTGCACGTTTTGTTTTAAGAAGCTACTGCAGTTCAGATTGCCTGCATTTGCTGTGCAACTCCCACCTTGGTCAGAAAAAAGCCATTTCAAGCCTTCTCCTTCTCAGGCTGCCCACCTTGTATCACCCACAGGTAAGATGCCTTTCACCTTCACTGTGCAGGGTGCAACTAGCTTTGTTCAGGCAGAGCAGAGCAGAACCCATGGAGGATCCTGCAGCAGCTCTGCATCTCCTCTGGCAGCCAGTGTTTCATGGCTGAGAGTTCTCATGCCCAGTACACAGTGCTCTCTCCTTCCAAGAAAAATGCCATGATTAATGCAACAATCACAGCATTTCTGAAAAGACCCAACAGGCAAGGCAGCTGAGTTATCATCAAGCAGATTCTGATTGCACATGAAGCATTTCCAAAGGGCTCACAAATAAACAGCATAATGAATCTCAAAGAAAGGCATCTTCTTAGTGAAAAAATGTATTTAATTAAGCAAATATCTAAATTATAGTAATTTTGCTGTAACTCAGGCTTTTTCAACCCTCGCTACAAGAAAAGCAAAGCCCACAACTGTGTTTTAGTTTCACTTGCCTTTTTTTGACAGTTTCTTGTGGCACAACAGCCTTGGCCAGCATTTCCTTGTATACTGGAGACTTCAGATAGCGGCCATAGGAGTCCTACCAGGAGAAAAAAGGGAAGCTGGTAGTTATGGGCTTATTAAAATCACCACCAAATATATCTGCTCGGGAGCCAAGGAGGCTGGGAACTGGATACCTCACCCAGCAGCCCAAGTGACTTTGCATTTTCAGGCAAATGTGTACTTAAACCAGTACCCTTTCATCTTGTAAAATTCCCAAGAATTTTCATCTCCTAGTAAAGCTTCCCAGGTACAATCCAGGGGTTCCACAATCACTGCAGGGTGAAGAATGTATGTTTCAGAAGCCAAACATTTCAGCAGCTGGCTTAAAATCAGCTTTTTCTTTCATTGTCCATTTGCATTAGCTGCTGATTTGGCCAACAGCACTCCTCCTTGCTGAGTGCAGTTTGACCAAGGGAATATTTAGAAAGCAAGACTCCAGCAGACACCTAACATCGGCCACCTTGGGGGAAAAAGCAGCAGCAAAATACAAAGAGCTGACCCAGTGCTTGCTTAAATCAGCAAATCTGAGGGATTTTCAAACAGAGGCCACTCGACAGCGACAGCTGGTAACAGTCAAAGACATGGAAAGGCCCCGAGTCCTGGAATCCCCCTGAGGCTTGGAAACAAATAACGAACCTTTTTCATCAGCATGTAAATGTGGGTCTGAGCAGCATCTAAAACATAGCGATGAGGGTGCTTGAGGCCTTTCACCGTGATGCCCATTGTTGTGCCATCGATGTTAATCCAGCGCCTAGCTCCTGGAGCGAGGAACAGCCTACGAGGAGAGGTGGATCAACAGCGTCATTAACAAGTGAATTCCCCCAGATTCCTCTGTCTATGGACGAAAGGAAAAGTCCCTTCAACTTCCCACTACAATTTGCTGTAAATGATATCGAGCAATTAATCTTCTCTCCAGCAAAGTGCGCTGTGACATTCAGTCACTTCCTCTTGCAATGTAACACACAATATAAAGCAAATTTTAGGCCTCTGGAAGCAAAAAGAGTCTCTCCACTCACCTTGTGGCAACCCCAAGACATTTGCTATTCTGGTATTTAAACTACAAGCTAAGATTTCTCTTAAACATTATACTGGAGAGCAGAGGGGAAAAGCAGCCATGCAACAATTTTTAAGCTTTCACCTTCACAATCTCCATTCCTACACGGGCAAAGCCTGTAGGAATAAATCACAAGGGGAATGGCAACGTGTCAGGGAGGATACGAGACTCATGTGGAGAGTGTAAGAACGTAAGATCATCACACTCACTTGTAAATCTCTTCTGCTTTTTCTTTGACCTTGGACTGGTCTCCATATTTGAGATCCTCACAGGCTTCCCAGAAACTCAGGTTCTCTCCTGCACAAGAAGGATTCGTTGAGTACTTCGTTGAGTACAGAGCGAGACCAAGGAAATCCCATGTATGAACTCCTAAACTGAATTTGTTTGATTCCATACAACACCGTCCCAATTCAGAATCTCTCTACTTCTTACAGCCACCCTAAAAATCTCCTGCAGGCTGAAGGAGGACGCAGCTTCCCACTGCCCCCTGCCCAGTGACAGAACCCAGGCACGAGCGGCCTGCGCAGCTGCACTGTGCGCCCCGTGCCACTAGGTGGCGCTGCACGCACTGGCTGCACAGCGGCTCCGCTTCATGACTTCACCGTGACAGCGCGCGGCGTTGCAAAGGCACGGATCTCTCCTGGTGCCCAGGGCAGCTGTGCGCCCCAGGGAAAGAGAGACAAGGAACGCACCGCTGAACTCCTTCTTCAGGAAGAGCTGGAAGTTCTGCCGACCTTTTGGGTCCCGTATCAGCTCGTTGAAATTAAAAGCCCATCGCTCCACACGCATCCTGGTGGGGATTTCCACCCTGCAAAGGTTGAATACAAACAGTACTGCCAGCTTCATGAGGCCCATCTAAATGGCAGATTAATGAAAACCAAATTGTTGGAATGTCAGGAGACTCAGTGCTTTCTGTTTTCCAGATTGCTGTAATGAGCTCCTCAAGTCAGCCCGCTAAGGAAGCGGTAATTAAACAACTTGGTACACAATGGGATGAGGATTTGTCTTGGACTTGTTCTGCTCTCACAGCGCTGGCCCAGCTTTGCTGGAGGGCTGACTCAGTCCCATCCTGGAGGAGGATATCGCTGCTCAAAGCTTCCATTCTGTGAAGGTATCTTTTGGGGCTGCCTTAATGGGCTATTATCACTGTAACAGGATTGCCAGTCTCAAATGAGAACCACTAATATGCTGTATGGTTCAATCCCAGAGTTGCTAATACATAATTAGCAAATGCTATCTGAATAGGAACCAAGGGAGACCTCAGAGAAGGGATGGACCATCAGTACATGTCCCCAGTCCAAACTCCCTACTAAGAAGCCAAGCAGGTGAATGCCGAATTGCTACACCATTGGCAGGAGCTATATTAGCAAGGTTAATCCTAAATCAAGTACCTGAGCATAACTTGTCATATTCTACTCTTTTGCTAGTAAAACTGAGGTAATTCAAGAGAGGATTTGGACAATTGAGCAGCTTCTAGGTGCGTACTCCCAACATTTTAGGAATTTCCACGATGTTTAGGAAGGTTCAGCATGAATATTCCCCACTTCAGCCATGCCAGAAGGGGAATTGTTGCCCTGCTCATGATCACAGACTGGATGTCGTGATGAGATCAGCAGTTCCCCTTTCTGATTTCTATCAGCATAAAGGTCACTGTAAACCACAAGCTGGCAAAAAAGCTACGTACAGCTTTGCATTGAGATCCCAGAAATCAGGGTCATCTGTTATCCAGGGGTTGCTAGGAAGACATCCAGACAGGATAGGATCATTGGAGAGAAACTGCTCAGAGTACTTCACAAGCCTGCAAGTAAATTCAACAAAATTAAAATCGTAACTTGCCACAGAATTGCAATCAGTCCCATTACAACCAAACGAACGTACAGACTGTGGGTATGCTCAGAGCAGCTGCCTTACCAGGGAGATCTGGAACGTGGCCCCTGCCTAACTACAAAAACTGATTCAGTAGCACAGTTAATCTTTTGTGCTTCACAAACAGAAATCTCCCAAGCATCGTTCAAGCACTGGTTTCATCAGGTCAACTTCTGGGAAATCCAAGGCTCCTCCATCACCTCCTTTTGCCTCTTCACTTCAAGGAAGTGGGACTAAGCCCCCAAAAGACAGCTGTCTCCTGCAGCCAATAGGTCAGATAGAGAAATACCTGCCCCCATGCTGTTTTGTGCCACACATTGCAGAGAAAAGGAAAGCAAGCACTGCGTTTGCTCAGATTGGATCCTCTGCAGCTTCCCCACAAGGTGCAAGAGATGTTAGCAAGCTCTGGAAGAGGTAAGGCAGTGCTCAAGGCACCTCTTGATTTCTCTCTCCACTGACATGCTATAAAGCCCATTCCCATACACGAGGGTGAGGGCTCAGCACAATGCAAAAATCTCCCTATCCTAGCAGGAACCAGACAAACCCTTCTTACCTTCTGAGTTGGTGAGACTTGTAATTACAACCAATTTCACTAATGTCCTGGAATTTTAATTCTCTCCTCCCTTTTTCATTCTTGAAAAAAATTATCTGGTTTCTCTGTTTAAAATTCCCTCCGGGCAAAACTGCTTTTATGTGCTCAAAGCAGGGAGTGCACTGTCCAAGGGCCTGTTGCTAACAGGCAGCCTGGCATAGATCCTGTGATTATACAATGCTTCTGCACGAAGTATAGCACAGGTTTGGCACAGAAGTGCTTGATCCTATCTTTTCACTGGAAATGCCAAGGCATTCAGCACCTACATAATTCTCTCCACTCCATACATTCTAATTGAGCTGCAAATCTAAACCTGTCAACTCAGGTAACATCGTTCTGTTCTTTTAATGATTAATGCTTTGCAGCTCCTCCTAAATCAATGTGGTGCTCTGCTGCATGCATACTATCAAGTTACTGATCTTATCCTTGTCAACAATAATTTGATTTGGAGCCAATCCCACAGCTGAAGATGGAAATCCAACTTTCCCAAGTGTTTTCTGCTCCAAGTATTGGCCATACTACTTTATACGACTAGTACCAATGTGTAACTTTTTTTTAAGTACCCCAAATTCCTGGAAGATAGACAGGTGTCCCCAGCTCCACCTCACAGTTCACATAATTGAGGCAAGGAGAGTTTTACGTGACCTGGGCGTATGTGACAGACAAAGGAGCAAAACTGCTTGTGCCTTACAAGCTGTGGTTCTCAAGTTGTGGTACAACTTCCTAGATCTCCCAGCCAATTTCATTCACCCATGACTGTCTTTCTATGAGGGAACAGGCCCAAGCTCCACGTTTATCTTGGATTTGAGAGGAGCTGCTGGATGGCAATAACACGTATGCAACGTGGACTGGTGGCGTGGGAGCTGCCAACACAGGACTTCAGGTGTGAAACTCTTCCAAACTGCAGAGCTGCGCTGATCCAACAGCCACAGGCCAGCCTGAATATCTCTTGATTTCAAAGGGAATCTTGACTGAGAGGCTGACACTGCTCTGCAGACGTTTATAGCAAAGCCCCCCTTAGCTGCTTAGTTTCCCTGAAGACGAGGACTCTGCCACCTCCTCTGCTTCTGCCACCTCCTCTGCTTTGTGCCTTCTAGCACAGGAGCACACAGCCCAGCCACCAACGTACAAACAGGCCATGTGGCCACCGTAGCCATTCCCCAGACTGAGTCACCAGCTGCAAGAACAGACAGCTTCATCATCTCGCTAAGAGATGAGCACCAAAGACTAATTACTGTGTGGACAGAAGGAAATTGGGACTTACCCTCCAAGGGAGACAGAAGATTTCACTCTGGATTTCATGATGGCCTGCTGATAGTACATAATCTGAAAGGGATCAGACATGCCCATGGTTAGGAGAAATGAGATACGCAGACCAGGCCAACTCTATCTGAACAGCAGGCATGTCCTCTCCCAGGCAGGAGGGGTAATACCTGCAGTATCTACAACTAAGAGCTCCTCCTCCCAGCGCTTTACTGGATGTCCAAGGAACCACAACATCCCTAAACTGTCAGGGAAAAATGGCCATTTTCACTGAGCTCGCTGAAAATACCAGCCAAGCGTTTTTCAGCGTGAAAGTAATGTAAAAACAGCCTCTGTGCTATAAAAGAACTGCATAGTAGCTACCGTTCTTGGCACCTAGAAATGCTCTGGATGGTTTAGCATGTAATTATCATTGATCCTTGGCTGTCTCTACACTGGCGCCATTGGATGCATCTCCTGTGATTTCCCCACCACTAATTTTGATCTGTTGGATTTTAGCCCTGGTGTCTGCCCTTGCTAAGCCTTCAGTGTTTCCTCACATCACTACGAGAGCTGCTGCCTGCCTGCTGCAGCGGGAGGAAATGTGCTGAAATCACACCGACCAAAAGCTCTGTGGGGCAGAGACTCTGCCAGCCAAACCAAAGCATTCTTAACACAGACTATCCCCTGCAAAGGGGGCTCTGATCCCTCAAGTAACAGTGATAAAAGCAATACACACACGTTGGACAAGTAGAAATCAAGGAATGACCAGTTACCTCTCTCCTATAAACATCCATTGTTTTTTTCTGTAAAATAAAGAAACAAAAATAAAGAAATTGGGGCGGGTGCTTTCACTCATCCTCTTTGAGACATGAAAACATCATTGCACTGCTGCTGTCGTGCAGTGCTCTCCAATTAATTCTCATTACGAGTAAAATCAAACACAGCAGCGCAGCTAATCAGGGTACCATCAAAGCTAAGAGCATCCACACACTGTAAATTGTTCCATTAGCTGTATTTACTGTTAGCACTGCTTCTTCCATCACAGCCTGCCTGTATGCCTTCAATTAAAGGGGCATTCTAATGGAGCTAAAATAGATTCATTTATGAGACACAGATTAGATCATTCAGTATTAGGTAAAGGAGACAGGAACCAACACATTGCAAAATACAAACACCACAATTAAAAGCCTCAGAAGGTGTATCTGCTGTGCAAAGGGTGCCTACATTGTGATTTGAGTAACTCAGACTATGTTACATGTCATCCACAAATGAGCAAGCAATTGAAGGCAAGAAATTAACTGCAGGGTGTTTATGCACACATCTTTCTTTGAAGCACAGCTACTTTGTGAAGTAAACTTGAAGAAGGAAAGGGAAAGACAGGCTAAATCAGAGATGCTCCCAGCAAGCCTTTAAAGGCTTTTGCAAGCTTTCATTTCTGCGTTTCCTGTTCTAGCTAACAAGAGCCACACAGATAATCTGCAGACCAGAATTATCCTATCTAATTAACCCTGCAGCAGACAGTGGCCTGCAGAGTGCCTTGTGGAAGCACAGTGTCTGTCAGCCATCAGGAATAGAACATCTGCTGCCAAACAACACAGCCTGCTTCTCTCCTCTCACCAAAGAACCTGCAGAGCGCTGCCTCTGTGCCCCTGTTCTGGGGAAGGCAGGATACTCTCCCAGGCTGCTTTTGGAGAGGCACTGATACAGACCTGATTTTGTATTTTAACCATGATCAGCAGCCCTACTCAGAAGGAATAAACTGTAATTGGAAGAAAAATGTGTACATCCTGTTGTAACCTGGTTGTTTTTAAGAGGGCACACTCACCGTCTCAGAAGTAGAAGCAGATCAGCCAATCTGTACAGCAGTGATCTTAACACAACCCAGCCTGGCTGGTGTAGTACTAACAGGAATCCTGAGTGTGTTGGCATTGCAATGGGAGGAAGCTTTTGTTGCTGGAAATACCATGACCAACTCTGGATGATGGATAATCTCAGCTGGGACAAACAGGACAGCAAACACTAGTTGCACCAGCAGAGATGCCCTGCTGACTGCACACAAGGAACTGCATGTGAGGGGTTGAGGGCTGACATGGCAGCAGGAGTACAAAGCTGCCAGACAATAGGATCATTGGCCACAGGGTTGTGCAGCTTCCCTTGCTGATGCAAAGGTTCCTGGGACATCTTATGAATAATTTGAAGACAAACACTGAGTATCAGCTTTTCACCCTCCCTGGCTCTTGGCCATACCTCTGATGGCAAACTTTCACTTAGGCATCACTGCTTCCCCTCTTTTTTTACAGTGTTAATACTATTCCATATACATTGTAGAAATGGAAGGCAAAAAAAAGTCACCTGCTTGCACAGAGAATCTAGCTTCATTTACTGACCTAGAAACGCCCGCATCAGAAAACTTTGATTCTGTTTCAGGCAACCTAATTCCTGCACAATAGGAGTTCACTATCTCCTTAGGGAACCTGAGATACAAATCAGGCCCCATTAGGTTTACAGCGTGCCAGCTGAACTGTTCCATTTGATGAAACTGAAGAGTGGCCAGGGCTTTTACTTAAGGAAAATCAACAGGTTAATATTCCTAGATGATTTTAAAAGGACTCTGATGTCGTCTTCTGTTTTGTCAGGTGGGTTCCTTGACCAGGTGCAGTGCACTGGGGTGAAGAGAAGGTGGATGCTGGCATAACAGCTTGAAGGCAGCTCACATGGTAAAGTTGTATTAGTCTTCTAGAGGGATCTTAGCGAGGCAGGCAGCACACCACACACACACAAGACAAACAGCTGCTGGGAAAGAGAAGAGGAACTCAGTAAGTTAAATGTTACATGGAGTAAAAAAATAAATTAAACTGTCCTTACTGCAGAGAAGTTGTGTATGTAAATGAAAAAATCTGCCACATCTGCAAACAAATTATTTTGAAAGTGCATCCTATTGTAAGGATCCTGTCACAGCCTGAGCAGGTAGGTCAGCTCTCTGCACAGGTCCTGGGAAACCTGGGGGCTTCAGTGGGGTACCACAAGGGGAAGGGATTGCACAGAAAGGGGGCTATGGCACAAGAAGGCCAACACTGAACTGGAGAGGAATCAAAGCAGCCCAGCACTGAGCACAGTATCCATCAGCCCTCTGAGGGTTACAGGTGCTGGCTGCGCTCAGCCCTTTCCAGCTCTGTAACTGGGAAGGATCTCAGCTGTTTCACCCCAGTGCTGCACATCATTTCATTTCCCTTCCTCCCAAATATCCCATCCTTTCTCCTATCACCAGTGTTTATAGCTTTACTGCTGCTATAAGCAACCCTGAATATTCTGTGTCCTTTTGAACACTGCCAGTGGTCTGCACCAGTTTCCCCATCCTGATCTCCAGCTACTGACAGCGATGCCAAAGCACACCACAGCACCCATCCACCCTCCATCATTTGACTGGAAATAACATTTGGAACAAAAGAGTCATTTCTTATAATGAGATTAATTTTGCAATGCTCTTAACGAGTGACTTATTGCAATTACTGTGGATAAGCTCTGCAGCCCTTCAGGCTTCAAATCAAAATGGCAATTAGTGATAAAACCTCATTCTCTCAGGTTGAGTGCTACACGTGCTCCTCCCTGAAAGGCACAGCAGCACCTCAAGCCCTGTATGGCCTTGTCACCCCTTCTCAAAGCAACCATTGAGGCAGAGCTGGGAGCCAGCCCAGGCTCTGAGCCCAGAGCTGATCCACGTGGCTGAAGCCAAGAGCTCCTACAAAAGCTGGGATTTCTCCTGCTTTTTTTTTTCTTTTCTTCCAACTGGACAGACCTCGTCTGCTCCCAGTGTGGGTCTTTCTGACCACACTGTGGAGACTATGGTGACTGTGTTTTTGCCTGTCTGGCCACTATCCAGCATCTACAGAGGCCAAGAACAGCTGGACAACAGCTTTTGTGCGTACGCCCAGCCAGAGCTTGGAGCAAAGAACGAGCACAGACCATGGTTATCCAGAGTTCATTTTTAGACCTGGTCACTGCAAAAGTGCCTTGCAGTTTGCATCTCCTGAATGCTGGGAGTGCCCTCCATCCACCACACAGATAAATACCATGAGAATGCACTCCAGAGGCCAATCCTGTCTGCATCTAACACAAGACATCCAAGCATGCACCTCTGCTGCATTCATGTTTCCACCCCCACAGCTGGAAATCAGATTTTTAGATGTCCAGATGTCTGGTTTCCTTCAAATAGCTGGGTTTCCTCTATCTTGTTTATTTGCTTCTGATCCTGTTGTTTCAAAAAGAGTGAGGGTTGCAGCGGAAGTTGTGTGTTTATCAGGCAGCCAACGGACAGAGGCCTAAGAAAAAAATTAAAGTCCTACAACAAAAAGACTGCAAGGAACTGCTGCACGTAGCTCATTGCTGCATGCAACAGACAGTATTTCACTCAGAAGTCCCCAGATCTAGCACGGCGATTCTGGCCCACCTAAGCACCATTTAGAAAGGCTTTCTGCTTATAGAAGGATGCAGAAGCAGTAACTGCAGAGGAGACAGAGGGCTGTGCAGTTGCTTGGTAACTCACTAAGCAGCGATGCTTGATCATGAGCCCGAGACCTGGGTAACAAAAGGCTAAAGCAGCCCTTAATTAGCTGATCAATGGCCAGCTACTGCTGCCTTACTCCCCGTCCAACTATAGCTCCTAACTCATTGTAGCAGTATGCCCACGGGTCAGTGATAAAAGTCCCCTTCAAATTGTGCAGCGTTTGGCTGAGCACCTGTTTATCTATCAATTAGGGAGGGAGCCGCCCACCAAAGGGTCTGAGGCAATTGAAAAGAGATGTGTGTGCCAATATCAGCTTCAAAGAACTCATTCTGATGTCAGAAATGAATTATCAGCTGAATTACTCAGCTGTCAAGATAAAAGTAAACTAATTGGCCAGTATTGCCAAACTAGACTGAGAGGGAACAGAGTCACAAATCAAATAAATGGGTGCTGGATTCATGCACTTATTTTCTGCTTCCATTCTTTCACCTTTGTCAGAACCAGAGGGGCTGTGCTCACAGAAAACATCAATAGATACAACCCATGCTGCCTTTAGCAGGGGTAAGGCATGTCCAATAAAGCACGGCCCAGTCTCTGCATTCGGAGACCTTGGGCCATCCTTCCAGCTGTGGCTGTTGAGCCACAGGTGCTTTTCTGCTTGAAGAAAAAAAAAAAAGGTGCAATTCCAACAGTGGATGTATGTCAGCCTTTGGCTGCTTCATGTACTGCCAATTGCTCTTCCAAAACTAAAAGGAAGAAGGAGAACAACTCATCCTCTCCAGCTCAAGCTACAGAGAGGACAGGCAGCTCAGAGATCAGTTTGAAGCAGAAAGGCAGTGAATCACCCCGAAGTTGGTGTCCTTTGGCTCAGTCCCTTACGAGATGGGGAACTGTCTGTTCCTCCTGTGCCCAGGGTGTGAGCTGAACTGAGATCCCTCAGCTCACTTCTCTGTTACCAAACAGCTGGCAGAGAGCTACAGGCTTTCAGACTGTTTGCAAACTGAAAATCTCCTTCCGTGTCAGCTGTAAAACTGTGGGCGAGATGTTGGCTTACTGCTTTTTTTCCCCCTTTCTCCTTCCTCCTCTCCTGCTCTTAGCAGCTGCTAGTTATAGCATGAAAAAAAAACCAACCCCAAGCCTACATTTTGCTCATTTTCAGTATCTATGGTAACAGAACAGAGTTGGTCAAAGCAATTATCCTGCCTCTGCCCGTTGAGATGTTTAAAGGCTGTTATAAAAATGAGAAGTTGTGGGAATACAGTGAGTGTGATGGCAGTAACATTTGCACTTCATTGCTGAGCCACACTTTGCCTTCACTTTCAAATGAGCATAAAAGCAGGCTCACTTTCAAGGACTGATGGAAGAGAAGACAGGCTTCAGCTCCTCATCCACATCTTTCATCTTACTGTGAACTCCAAACCAGTCCCACCCAGTTACAGCCTCCACGGTCTCAGTTCATTAGTTCTGTTTATGGTCTAGCACCACAATATGCATTCTTTGAGAACATTTTGTGCCTCTGTCCATCACAGCAACTTCGCCTCTCACCACATATTACCTTTCTGGAGGTACTCTGTTTTACGTATTTTAAAACTGGATCTATCCTCTGATTCTTCTTACTGCTCAAGCCCATACTGAGCTCATTCAGCACTAACAAGAAGGCAGCTACAAGCATTTGCAGATAGAAGATTGCTTCATTCAGCTTCACCAGCAGAGAAAGCATCTCCTGTAGCTATACACTCTCACTAATGGATGTGGCAAGAAAGTTGACAAAGTACTTTTTTGACAAAGCCAAAAGAAGCTGCCAAAGCTATTTTGAGGGCTCCACACCCTGTGGACAACGAGACAGCTTCAGCTTCTGGCCTCTTGGCTCTCATGGCTGAGCTGACTTGCTCTGCCTGCATTCTCCAAAAACACCATAGTGCCAGCAACACTGCCTGGATCCTCCCAGACAGATTCAACAGATGTGAAGAAATGCTTCCTCACCTGGTTTACCTTATCTTCATTGGGATCTGTTACACGGTCTATTCCATATTCTAGGACATCCAGCATGCCGGGCTGTTATGAACAGGAAACATCAAAAGCTTTGCCACTCATTTGTTTTAAAGTCAGTTGGACGTACTAACACATGAGGGAATTCCCAAAGCCTGAGGGCTGTCACTCATTGCTCTCCACTGTGACCTTACCCAGTGCATGAGATGAACGCTTTTGACTGGAGGGCAGGAAGCACATCTCAGCACAGCCCACAGTCAGGCTGTGAGCAGCACAGCTTGGCCTGGCACAGCCGTGCATGACACCCTCCCTGGGAATGCACTACTCTCCACATGGCTGCTGCAGCTGAACCTCCCTCCCCTGCAGCTTTGAAAACCATCACAGTGAAGGTGGTGTGGATGCAGGGCTTTCTTTTGCACCCCCATCTGGTTGTGGCTGGGAGAGCTGTGGGATGTTCCGTCTTCTGTATGTACAACATCCCTTCAAGCCTCTTCTCCAGGACTGTCACTGAGTCAGTTGATTCCTCAACCCTGTGGCCCTTTTTCACCCTTTTCAAGCGTTCCCTGTGGTGAAGCAACGGGATGCACACCCAGGCTCATGCCCACAGCTGATCCCCAACAGGGCAGGGACTTATCCCAGGGGCTCTAAGGAAGGGCTGAGACACAAAAGCCACACACTATCATCTGCAACTTACAGGAGTTCTGTTCACAAGCCAGTAGGCTCTCTCCTGGCAATCCAGAGCGTACCTGTCCGCCTTCTTCCGCTCCTTTCCTGCCCTGCAAAGCCAAGAAAAGCATTTCACTCTGCTGGAAGAAATCATGATTTCTTCTTCAAAAACCAGGAGGATGACAAAGTGGACACATCTCCAGCCTCCCCGCCCCACTGAGTTCCAGTCTGCCTGCCAATGCTCTGATGCAGGCTCCTGACCACATCTTATCCCAGACAATTCTGGGCTGCAGATCACACAGTTCACATGGTCACACGTGACTGCTACTCCTCCCTGCTTCTAGCTTTTGAGAAATCATCATCTTCCTGAGCTCAGCTGGGAGCAGACACATCCTCTTTTGAGCTGACGGACAGCCCTTTCAGAGAGTCCCATGCTAACAACCCTCTCCTTGCAGTCAGTCTTGCTGCCTGATGTTTACCCATCTCAGACACTACCAGGCAGTATGTAAAGGCCACTACACAGAGGTCCTGCCCATACACATTCTGACCCATATCTCAGTTCAGCATTTCTCACAGAAACAACGTGGAAACAGCACCAGTTCCCAGGCACTACATTTCAATCATCTCCACAATTAAATAGAAGAGGGACTAGCATGATTTAGGCTCGAACCAAGTAATTTTTCTCCCAGACACGTCCTGGGTTATGGACACGGGAGCATTCCCAACAGGCCATCTGCTGTGGCCATAAGCAGTGGCTAGTGGGTGCTGGCTGCCTGCACCACCAGCTGCAGCAGCCCCAAACAGCCCCAGAGGCATTTAATCTGCTTCTTCAGATAGTGCCTCAGTACCCACCTTTAAAACTGCATTTGGAACCTCTAAGCCTGAGTCTGACCTCAATTTACAAGCACAACAATCTTGTGCTTAATGAGACGGTTATCAGATGAGCTGTATTCTGACAACTTGGCTACCATCCCAGTGAGGACAGAAATGGCTGCTGAACAGTAGAGGTGGTGCTTGTTGAAGCAGAAGGTGAAAAAAAGTAGAAGGAATCCAGAGAACGAGGAAATACCTTATTTTCAAAGGAGTAACCCCATCTCAATTCACTGATTTTCATGGGAATTTAAGGGATTCAGCCCCCCACATCAAGCCATTTTGTCTGGGTACCTAAGAAAGCACTTCAGTTTTCTCCAGGAGTCTCTGCTGGGAACTCTTACCACTTCCTGATTCCAGGACTGAAGTTCTGCTGTGAGATTTGGGCAAACAATAATCAAACCAGACCAGTAACAGCTCCTACGTCCAGTGGGCTGACCCATAATGACACAGGGCCATCTCTGATGCCTGAGCTAAAAGAAGCTATAGCTCATGAGGGCTTGCATGCTGCAGCATCAGGCCTTAGCTTCTGCAGGGAAACCTCAATCTCATCAAATGCAAAACCTAAGCCTCCTGTAGCAAAAGCCACTCACAAAGAGGCATGCCTTTGAGTCCCCCACCCGCACCCCTGCTCTCACTCTGACAAACCACCAATTTCACATTATTGGTGGTCAAAGGACAGGCAGGGAGAGAAACACAGATGCAGAAGGAAAGAGTGAGACTCTGCAAGTCCGATGTCCACTCATTTGAGAACAGTCGCAATCCTTCACGTGTGAAGTGCAAACTGAACAAAGTTCCCACGTTAAACGGAAAAACCTGCAGCCTGATATGAAAGGCAGGTTTGTCTCACAATTTCAAGGGGTCCTTGCAAGTTATTTTAAAACTGCAGCTTATGCTTTAAACTGTAATTTAACTGTGTAACAGGACAGTGAAGCTCTGCTTTCTCATACCCACCCCTCTGATGCAAATAACAGAACCCAAGTCAACTCACTTGTACTGCTCTTTGGCCTGCATAATAACAAAATCCCACTTGTAGTTTATTTTTTTATTGAGCATGTTGTAATGTTCCTGGAATAGAAATAAAAAAGCAGTTAGTGTGAATATTCTGGACAAGGCACTCCCATGCTAGGGTTTTCTTGACTCTCCATAGCTCAGCTCTAACTGAGCCAAGAAATCTGGATTGTTCTGAATGTAATTATATGAATTGCAACAGTTTAAAAATGCCACAGCAAGGAAAGCAATTACTCCTGCTAAAATTATCATTGACTTCAGAGTGTTTTTCTGTGCCAGCCAATTTTTCACTTCCACAGTTTTGGCTTTTGAAACCACTGGAGTAACACCTCATTGAAAAGAGGCGACTTTTTGCTACGCTTCATTCATAGCAACAGAGGGCTTCAGCTCTAGCAAATAAGGAGCTTGCCATGGAACAAGTACAGAACCTCCTCACCTTTTCATACTCTTCTAAAATCCCTTTCCTCTTGATGTTCTTCTTTGCTAGGTAAATTGCTGTGGAGGGAGAAACAAGTAAGCAGTCAGTTCTACTTAGGCAAACAACTCCAAGAATAATTAATAAATTGCCTACACTGCAAATACAGGAGTCTTCATTACAGAATCCTTCTGAGCATGAGCTGCAGGCTCACAAAAGCTCACCGAAGAGAAACAAACTTTGTGCTTTGCCATCAGTACCACACAAACCATGGTATGGGTGGGAGCAGCCACGTGCAACTGGTGCTGTGTGCCTTCCACAAAGCTGCTCCTGCTTTGGGAATTCGGCCAGGATTTCATGGGCCACAGTATGTTGAGCCAAATCTTTAAGATACTGAGGTTGTCAGAGCTCGTCCTCCACGTTTTCCAAAAGCAGGCCAATGTTTTGTTTCAACTTCTATTAAAAACATTCCCGTGTAGAATGTGCTCTTTTTCAGATCTACAGCATAATGTAGATAAAAACCACAGAGGACAACCTTGGTATAAACAAACCCATCTGCGAACTGCACAGCCTAAAGGAGTAATTAAGCTGATCAGCCCAAGGTTCATGACCAGCCCTATGATAAAAGGCATTACAACGGCAGCAAAAGAGTGAAGGGAAGAGGTGTCAAGAGATACTGGCAGTCAGTGCGCATTATGTAAAGAAAGAATCATCTCTGAATGCAGGGCTTGATCCAAACCTACAGAAGACAGTTTTGGGCTCACATCCAGGAATATACTTAACTACTCAGGGAAACCCAACCTTGCGTTTGAAGTCTTCCCAACCCAGCACAGTATTTTAGACACTTTCCAGTCCTACGTCTCTGGTTGGAACGCAAGAGAAGGATAAGGCCTTACATCAAAGGCACACGAGGTGCACGCATCCAGAGCATTCCCTCAGCTCAGCATCACTCAGAGTCATTCACAAGATAAAATAAGCACAAGGGCTGGTCACACCATGTGGAAAGGCAGCAAGAAAAGACAAAGAGCAAGCACAATGCAGGACTGCCTACACAAACACTTGTACCAGAATTACCTCTCCTAAATACAAAGCTATCACTTACCATAGTCGGTGTCATCAGCAGGCCAGCTTTGTGCGGGCCAGAAATACGGGGTCTGCAGGAGAACAAGTCTTTTGTTAGTGCAGAGCAGCCGTGAGCTCATGCCAAGTGGCACACAGCACTGCCTGACTGGAAGCAGAGAACAGCTTTTCTCTGCCATACCCAGACCTCAGCTCCTCAGCTGTGTCTCAGTACGCACAGTGGTGCAGGCCAGCTACAGCATGAGAATTTAAGTCAGACTGACAATTTCAAATCCACTTCTGCTCTACAGTCAGTGTGTCCAAGCTTTCCCTGCCGCATGAACATTTAGACTGAGATGCTGGAGCACGATACGGCTCATTAGTACTTTCTCATTTAAAGTACTAACGAGAGCAGGCTAATTTCCCATCACAGCAGAAATTCTCCAACTGAGAACCTTGAAAAAAAATCTCATTATCACTGTGGGTTTGTGTGTATCCATTATTCATTCTCCCCAGATCATTCTACAATCAACCATGTTTGATATATATATCAAACATAGCAAATATTCCATTTGAAGGAAACATATCTGGAAGAACTCTCAGCTATTTTAGTTGAGCTGGAGCAGTAACTAAAACTTAGAGGAATATCATAGTTTGACTGTAATCTGTGCACTGATACACAGGAATGACATCTGACTGGGTGAACCAGCATCAAGCTGCTCTGTGGATCCCATTTCCTCCTCTACACTGGATGATCAGCATGGCTGCACAGCAGGGACTCATGGCTCCAACTCCTGGGGAATTGCCCTAGGTGCCTGTATTCAAAACTTGTGTTGAACTCCCTCACAGTGGCATTAGACAAAGTGCAACTCACTTGAAACCTGTACAGGCTGCCATCTGTCCTGAGGGTGAGATTCTTTGGCTCCTGAAGAGGGTAGATGTAGCCATATTTGACAAACAGGTCCCCCAGGTGCAATGCCTCTGAAGATAGGGAAGGTAGAAGTTTTGATTACATGGGAACACTGAACTGGAATTTAGAAGTGAGCTGCTAGTCAGGAGAGAAGGATTCATCTAGGAGATTTGTCTATGGAGATCTTAAAGTCTTACAACCCTAATCCGGAAAGGCATAATTACCTTACATTTCTACCCACCTTCATTAGTGATCTGTAAACGCTGGAGAATCCACTGAAATATATCATTACCTGCAAAACAAAGAAAATACTGGGCACTTGAAACCAGAAGTGTACAATTTGTGGGTCAAAATGATAGCTTTCCAGTCCTCACCCCTAACACAGCCTGGGAACTCAGCAACTGCAGATTCCTCCCTGCAAATGTTTCTCTTGCATGACACATTTGAGAGCACACAGATAAAATGCACAACATCTCAGTGGCCATGCTGTCACTCTGGCTTTCTTCTGGCCAAGCAGGAGCCAGTCTGTGGGAGTGGGAGCACAGGGCAGCAATGAGCTCAGGATGACACGCTATGAGCGTGCAGAAGACCCACGTGGTCTAAGCAACATTTAAACCCTAATCATTGGCTTAGAAAGGACTTAAGCAATACAACAGCTTACACCCCAAGGAAGAGTAAGCGTCCCTTGTTCTGCACTATCTTGTCTTGGAAGTTTCACTGCATAGTATCTGCAGATTCACAGAGCATGGTTCTGTCTCAGTTTGAGTTAGAGACCGGTGAGTAGTCTGCTCTGGTGCTTTATGGAATGTGACCTTCAGAGCAGAAGGGATGTCTGAGTCTCAGATCCAGGTTGCAGTGATAACAGGATATATGAAAAGCAAATGAGTTCTCTTCCTCTGCAAACACTGCAGCTCTCGCAGTTCTTCTCTTGGGATGTGGTCAGTCATACCCAAAGTCAGCACAGATCTCCATTGGTTTTATTTTCACATTCTGGGAGGCAGAATCTCCTTCTGCTTCAATAGGGCCAAGCAGAAATGCACTCAACCTCTGATCAGTTATTGGTCTCTTCTCCCCAAAGTCCCCTAGGATTGTAGATTGTGGTGCTAACCTTTCTTGACATTGCAGTGATGACTTAACTTTCTAATAAGGGCTCAGAGCTCTTATCCTACTGCCTGCTTCCTGAAATAGACGAAATTAAAGGATTATCTCATCAATCATTTTTAGACAGTTCTCTCTGTATTATCTCCCATAGGTACACGTTTAGCATGGATGTTTCTTTGCCTTTTCTGATGTAAGCCATTTTACTAATACAGAATTTACCTAATTCACTCCCTGCAAGCAAACAGCAAAGTTCTTTGCAGTGAATGTGTGTCCACAGATAGATTTGTCCTACTGTCTTTCCCATTCCATCATTAAAAATTAATTAATTTCTCAAGCAATACCCAGAAACCAATCAGTAAATATGCAATTTTTGCAGCCCTAAATATATCGCAGTTTAGAGCGCGATGACTGCCACACAACTGTAACTCACATGGCCATCAGAAGGTGGTGACAGTTTATGCAGGAAGAAACTTGTAACAATTCTGGTTAAGGAACCAGAATAAAGCAGACAGCACGCAAAGACAACGAGCACCAACGGGCATCTTCCCTCCTCATTATCTAGCCACAGACTTTTAGGAAGTGGTGTTTTCTATTGGGCAGACATCAGGAGAAGCACTTAGTCCAGTTGGCACACCATCTACAGCAACGGGGCAACTTTCCTACAGCACTGCCTTAACATTTAATAAGAACTAGCAGAGGCAAGGCCAGATCTTTTGCAGATGCAAAACAGTCCACCCAATTTCATTCATGGCTGCTTTGTAAGGCAGGAGCAGGATGCGCCATAAGACACTGAGGTGCTCCTCAGAACAAGCTTCAGACATCTCCTTACACTGACTCTGACTGGAACCATGGGCAAATGGCTTAACCTGCATGCCTCTGCTTCTGTACCAAAGGAAAAAAAAAAAAGGGAGGCAAGAAATACGCAGGGCCTGCAGGGCTCCACAAATACAGTCAGGATGAATTAATTTTTTGGGGCTAAACTTCTTCTTGAGTCGCCCAGAGCAAGCTCACGGGTCTCAGCAGGAGTTTTGGTTCTGAATTTCAAAGTGCTGCAGAAAAAATGAAGCAGGAGAAAATACTGGTACAAGTACGTGTGAATATTTATAGTAGAGGATCCCTCACAAGTGCTGCTGTGGAGGCTTGGAGAACAGGCAGCAGAGCTACTGATAGTGCATTCTGCTGCCCTGGGCAAGGAGCGAGCAGTCATAAAGAAGGGCTGTGATAAGAGCTGCCTGTAATGCTAGACGTGACACATCAAGTCCAGCTACGCATCTGCTTCTCCTCCAGCCTGCTTGAAGGAGGCAAAGCTGTCATTTAAAGGTAGAGAAGTGGGCTGAATATATATTTTTTTTTTCTTCAACCTGCAGGAAAAGAACAATTGCTATCAGAAAACATTAAAAGGAAGACTAATTGTTTGTTGTTCATTTCTGATGCAGGATATGTCATTTTGACTCCACTCTGCCTCTTGTAATCACAGTCTAATATTTATCCTTATTTACATCAGGAACACAATAGGTCTGGAGCCCAGAACACCTTCTCACCTCTACTCCAAGAAAAATCACAAGCTGAGTGAAACTCACATGAGAGAGCTGTAAGTGCATGATTAGAAATCTTTGTCTCTTATTCCAAGAGCTAGGAATAAAATGAGACAAGTGAGACTGAGATAAAGGGAACAGGCATGCCCCAAAGGACATACAGCAAATATTTATCAGGAGCATGGGCTCCATCGTAAAATAGCTTGGGTTGGAAGGGACCTCAAGGATCATCAAGTTCCAACTCCCCACCACAAGCAGGGTTGCCAATCACTGGATGAAGTGCTAGGTTGGATATCCCAGGACTCCATCCAACCTGGCCTTAAACACCTCCAGGGACGGGGAATCCACAGCCTCTCCAGGCATCCATGCAGCAATAACCTGGGGATAGGCAGGGGGTCTTCCCACAGCTCTCCTTTGCTGAATTTGGCCACAGCTCTTCCCTTGGAGAAGTTCTTACCTGCCACGGCATGCGGGATGTTTGTGATCATCACCCTCTGAGTCTGTGTCTTGATGCCCGTGTCTGGATTCTGCATCTCCATTATAAGCGCTTCAATCTGCAAAGCGTGGAAAGTTGCTTTTATTGCACAAATAGCCCAGCTGTGCACAGACTCACAGATACTGTATCATTCACCAAGGAAAAAAAGAAAAAAAAATAAAAGGCAGTATTTTGGCTGGCGACCAAACAGCAAAGGTTCTGTTTCTGGTCTGCTGATGATAACCAGACAGGACTTCAGGAGAGCAGCAGGAAAAGCACACTGCTTCGCTCCAGGGCTGAGCAAGAGGTGCAAACACCAGGGAGATGAGAAGGGCCCATCCTTTGAGAAAGTACAGCCACGTTGAACCAAGCCTCTGAAGCAAGCAAAGGATTGATTACAACAGAGACCAGCGTTCACATGTTACATTTACATCCTTCTCTTACCCTTGACTTCCTGATAACAGCATCCTAAAAGTGCAAGAGTGTCGCAGTATGCTCAGGATGGGTGGGCCTGGGACGTGCTCACCTCCTCCTTCCATGTGATGCTCAGCTGAGGGCTATGAGAGCTTTGGCACTGTGAGATGGTCTGATGTTTGCTTCTGCTTCCAGAGACATTAAATCAGAACTGGTCCAACAAGACCAATTTAGTCTCTCTGCACATCCATTTCAGGAGAAGCTGCAGCCTTTTAACTAGGATTTGTGGATTTAACAAGTGTGACTTGATGACACTTATGCACAATGAAGGGCATTGTTTTCACAGGCACCACAGTGACTTTGGCCCTGAGTCTTGCCAAATTCAGTGAGGATTTAAGCCCATAGTGACAGGATGCAATCTAGGCTTAACAGCAAAAATGAATTTTCAGCTGTCCTTTAAGCCAGTGTCAAATTAATACTAAAATAGAAAAATCTGGTAAAAATTCACACAAATACTTGTATATAAATACTTTGAGACAGCAAAACCAGACCCAAAACAATGGAACATAATATTCTTTTTCTGCGTGTGTGATATTTTAACTGAACCCTGGGCTGTGGCACCAGAGATGGGGCCAAAGGACACAAGAGTGCCCTTATCCAGCACTCTGCCCCCTGCAGCAATAGCACCATCTCTGCCAGGCTCAGCATTCCCTTACTCCAAGGGATATTGGGATGCAGAGACAGCAGTGCCCATCACCACTGGACTGGATGCAGAGACAGCAGTGCCCATCACCACTGGACTGGATGCAGAGACAGCAGTGCCCATCACCACTGGACTGGATGCAGAGACAGCAGTGCCCATCATCACTGGACTGCTGCACTTGTTGCCTGCAGTAGAGCACAGCATCCTCTGCCCCAGTCTGCATGGCTGGAGCACCTCAGGGCTGCCTTCCCCTCCTCAGTCGGTTCCAGACAGGTCTTTAGCAGCCAAGAGCGTGGAACTGGCCTGGAAGCCCCCCTACACCTCCCAGCACAGCACGTTCTCCACTAACGAGCAAAGAGCTCCTGACTGTAGTAGCATTCATTCTGTTTTGGGCTCCCTCTTATCAATGGAAAAATAATGTGTGCCAAAAAGAAACAAGCGAGAGGAGCCAGGGAGCTGCTGCTGCCGGGGGGTGCCTGCTGCTCTGGCTGCAAACCAGGCACTTTGCTGATCAATACTCTGCCTGCCTGTTCCTCTCCTCCCAAGGGAACACTCTGCTTTATGGCAGGTTGCTGGAGGCAGGAGCCAGCCAGCGGGAGGCCAGAAGGGCTGCTTAAAATACAGCAAGAACATTTGCTTGCTTTGCTAAGGGCTTTCACACATTTTGTCACACTTTCAGCCAGAGAAGCATTGTCTGGCTTTAATTTTGTACAGCTAGAAGCCACTTCCTGCCTTTGATGATGGGTGGAGATGTGCAGAGGTAAACATCAGCAGGAAAACTGCTAACGGAGCCAGGGTGAGCTCACCTCTAGCACAGAGCCACAGAAAACCATGAACCCCACTGAGGTCTCCCATTAGATCAACAGGAATCTCTGCACAGAAATGCCTTCACCCCAAAAGCCACAAATACAACAGGAAAACTGTCTCCTAACTGCAAGTCAGAGGGACAGTTAAGTGACAAGCAAACCTCTTACATTCATGAACCACAAGAAAAAGGATCACTGTATTTTGGGGACACTGGCAGACAGTCAGTGACTGCTGGGGCAACACAACCCTGGTGAAGGCTTTCTCATGGGAAGCAGCAGTGGGGACAGGTGGCAGCTCGGTGAGCCGCCTGGTCACACTTCCCATGCCTGTTTCTCCTGGCTTTATCCTCTGGGCACCCACCAGGGTCAGGGTGTGCTGGGTGCAGGGTCTGAACACAACAGCAAAACGCCAAAGGGAGGAGTTCAGCCCCCTCATGAAGGCACAGGCATCTCCATTCATGATGTCAGACACATTTTCCCAGCAGGCTCCAGCTTCGTGCAGTGCCCACTCCTGGTGCTATAGTTAAACATCTGCTGCCTCCTCCAGCAGGAATGCTTGAGCAGTTATAGTCCCACTCACTGCCTACTAAAGATCATCCCTCTCCATTCTGACTTCCCAGATAGCAACGCAGTATTTCACTGCTACTCTGGGCTCAAAAGATTAACTCAACCAGTTTTCTAGGTCTGCAATTAACAGTCCTGCTTTGCACATTCATAGATGATGAGGGGAAAAAAGAAAGAAAAAAAAAGACGAGTCATTTGATAACCAGCTAAAACTCCCTGCTCTTCTTTAAGCAAGACTGAGAAGAGGAGTAAGATTTTCCCACCCCACCACAGCAAAGCAATCCAACATCAAAGAGAAGTAAATCCACAAATGGGGAAAAGGAGCTCCAGCTGTCTCTTGTGCCATGCATTGTCTTTTCTCACTGGACCACCATCTCCATTCCAAATTAAACCCACAAGGAAACAAAACCAAACCAAAAGACAGCCCTGCCTAGCTGCAGGTACAGCTTCACACCAGGGATGCTCACAGTATTTCACACTTTGAACACTGAAACAGCACTGGCATTTCCACTTCTAGATGGGAAGGGCCCCAACCCTCTGAGATGCCTTGGTGATGAACTTCTTGTACCTAGGAGACAGCACAGGGAATGAGGAAGGGAATCACCTGCCCTTTGCCAGCACAGCCCCTGCCTGTGCACTCAGACTAACTCATCCATGGGACAAAACACATGGCATCAAAGAAGCCAAGAGGCTGACAGCTCAACTCTGGCAACATTCTGAACCTCATTTAAATGGAGAGCAGGAGCCTACAGAGAAGCCCCTTCCAGCCATGACACAACTCCAGCACTAAGACATCTTTAAAAACATCTGGAAAGACAAGAAGCAACTGAATAGTATCAGATGGGAGAATTCAAGCCAAGATGGAGCTGGGCTGGGAAACCCCAACCAGTGCTGTGAATCCGGTTCATCTCTGCCTGCCTGGACATCAAGGAACTGAATAAGTAAGAGGCAGAGAAAAAGGCAAGCGGCATCCATCAGCCCAGCCCACGAGGTCTGAGTCATGATGCAGCTCATGTAGCACAGCAGAGGAAAACACAAAGCCCACCAGGCGCTGGGAGCACAGCCCATGCTGCTGTGTGCCTTGCTGCCTGCCACCCTGCGAGGCCAGATCCTCACTGCTGGGGCAGCACAAACCCATGGCTACAGCAGACGTGTCAGCCCGTGGCAAAGCCTAAGCACAGACTTAAGCAATTAACGAAGCTTCTCTCTCCGATTTTAGCTCCTCGAGGCTCTAAGCCTCCAAAGCGCTCGCTGGATGCGCGCCAAGCATCTTCAGCTCCCCTCCGGGACAACACTCAAGGATTTCAGGGGATGTGAGCATCACCATGTACACGCTGCAGTGTAACAGCTGAGGCTCTGTCCATGGCTTCCCCAAGGACTGAAAAAGCAGAGAGAAGAGCCAAAGCCTGCTGGTGGACCATCCAGGGGTGTCCTTTCACAGTGCCGCTCTCAAAGCACTGTAACTACTCAACCCCCCTGCCTCTTGCAGAGTGAACTGTGCGTGCTCCATAAGCAGTGCTGTATTTTAAAAGATCTTCCCACCTGAGGAGCTCAGAGCACTTTGCAAAGTCTGCTAACACCCATGGAGCAGCTGAAGCACAGCTGTGGGAGGCTGTTTTCTCAAAGCATGCAGCCTCTCCCCTACACCTCTGCATGAAACCCCACAAAGTATTACTTAGTGCAGAATGTGGCCCTGTGTATTTCCTCTGCAGGGTTTCCCTGCCAAGTGTACCTTGAAAGACACAAATGTATAATTCCTGCTTCCTTCCTTGTGAAAAGCACTGCCAGGCTCACACCTGAGCACTGAATAGCCCCTGATTTCCTCACTTGCATCCCTGGAACCTCCGTGTCTCTGTAGGCCGTAGGCATTGCAGGAGAGCTGACTCGAATAGCAACTGGCTGGCTGTCACTGGAAATTCAGCTAATTCCACTCAGCAAGATAAGCCACAGGCAGCAGAGGTGGGTGGAAGAACAGCCAGCTTAACACTCTGCTTTTAAAAATCTCTGCAGATATTGGTTGAGCTAAAACCCAGCTACACTTTTGAATGAATGCTACAAGGAAGAAAAAAAAAAAACCAACCCAACACTGAATGCAACATTACGCATCACATCCAAAAGCGTAGGCATGCATCTTCCCACTCTTTCAACTGTTTGTGGTCACAAAGACGCTCGTCTCTGAAAATGTGAATGGAGGCAGGAAGCAAGAGCTGGCCATGACACACACTCATAAAGCAGACAGCAGCGGAGCGGGTGGGAACGCAGTGGAGGATACAGCCTCGGCCATGGCACGGAGTTTTCCCCCAGGGAACCACTGGGTTGCAGGGATTTAGGGGAAAAGACAAGAGAGGGAAGAAAACCGCCCGAGTAATTCAGCTAAGCTAATAATGATAATATAAATAACTTTCAAATTACAGCTTTCTTGTCCCCGTGACTTCTGCACGCGCTGCTTCTCAGCCACCAGCCGAAGCCCCGGTGCCGGGCGCTCCACGTGGCCACACGGCACAGCCCTGGGGACGATGCTCTCCCCGGCGGGCAGCACGCTGCCGGGGGCTCCGGGAAGCAGCGCCCAGCAGGATGCTCGGACGGCTCACACGGACGCGGGCACTGCTACCATCAGGCAGGGTGCGATCTGCGCCCCCGCTGCTGACGCCCAGAGCGGCGCTGCCTGTCACCCGGAGCTCCTCAGCCCTCACCTTTTTCAGGAAGGCCATCCGCGGCCGGTAGCGCTGCCCCTGGTCCAGCCGTGCGACGGTCATGGTGCTGCCGACGGGCGGAAAGCGCGGCGAGCGAACGGGCAGAGCGGCAGCTCCAGCAGCGCACCTGGCCGCAGCCCCCCACCGCCGGCTCCTGTCCTCGCCGAGGGTGGCGCCGCCGCTGTGCGCCGCAGCCAATCAGCACCCGCCGATCCACTCACATTTACATGCAGGCGCGGGGCGGCACGGCTCCCGCCTCGGGGCGCCAGTGAGAGCCGGGCGGGGCTGAGAGAGCGGGAGCCGCAGGGAGCGCGGGCTGCGGGTGGGTGACAGCGCACAGAGGAAGCTGTCCTCGTACAGTGTGCGCTGGTGTTTGGGAGGGCAGCTGGCAGAGCCCCCCAACACTGCTCTGCCCCGGGGAGAAGAGAAGAGTCTTCCCAAAACGCTCCCAGCGTGCAGCTGCTGGGATGGAGCAACGCGAGAGGCGGGCGGCATTCGGGCAGCTGCACCTGTAACTGCAACGCCGCTGCCTGTCAGCCAGCAGGGCGGTTTGGGGAACTCAACGGATTTGTCATGCGGGGAAATTATGACTAACGGTGACCAGAGGAACAGCACAGGGTTACAGCGTGCTTCCTCACGACAGAGCTGCCTCATGCCAGTGGGTGGGGGAACAGAAACCTGACTGGCAGCACTAAAAACCAAGAGCTTCGTGTCTCTGATTTCTTCAGTGGTGGGATTTCCTCCTGCTGCCAAGGTTTGGCCAGACAACACAGCCAGGAGGAGAGGCGGTCCTCACTCACCTGCCCAGCATGGCCGGCGTTGTCACACATCCACAGACACACACAGATCATACAGGCACACTGATAGCCCACGCGTTCACACGCAGCACTGCTGTTTTGAAGTCGTGCATTGGAGCGTCCGCACCTCCCATGCACGTGCTTTGCTGCTTCTTGAGGCACTGCCTTCCTCAGCACAGCCGGTGCTGCTGCCCTGACATTACAATCCGTGCACTGGAGGAAAGCATGTTGGCTCTGAATACAGAGCCAAGTTCTTTTCCATTCATATAACACCCTGAGGGCATGGGCTGCTTTCCCAGTTGCTCTGCTGCCCTCACGGAAGGGTTTTATCTTTATCTCTGCTCTTTCATACTATCTGAACAAGCCAGTGCTTTGGAAGGCCTTTCTTCTGTGTCTGCTTTCAGTCATTCCCATGTGAAATCCCCCTGTGAGTCACAGCAGCCGCTGAATCGCAGACACTTCTTACTTTCCAAAGGCTTTTCCACCGTTCTCTGCTCTGTGCTGCTAGCTAGCATAATGACAATGAGTAACCTGTCGTTCCATTAATACCAAAGTTATCACACCTCATGCTTCACGGCGTCAGCTGACTGCCAGAAGAAGTTCTTCATGCATTTGCAGTGCTCATAGTACCAGTGTTGTGTTGCTGTTTGGTTTTTCAAAACAAGCTCAGATCCTGGTGGCCCTCTGATACTGCCAAGGTGACAAACTGTAGTAGCACAGACTGTTCTGTAGGCAAACAGCAGGAGAGAGGGAATCAAAAGTGGGGTGAGATGAGGTAAGGGAAATAACAGGGAAAACATGCAAGCATTTAGAAGGTGTTAAGTAAGACAAGTGATTCCATTTCTGAGAAAGAGAGATAATGTAAGTAACTCTTTTGGACATGATATCAGGGAAGAAGGCCCTGAAAAAAGATGCAGTTCAATGTCTTGGCTTTGTAAGCAAACTGAAAAAAATCACAGTAAATTGCAAAAGGTTTCTCTAACTGGCTGTTGGCGTTGCCCATGCTGTGTTGTGGAAGGATCCAGAAGTTCTCCAAATGACATGCAGACAACTGGCCTAAAAACAGGATCAGTCACCACCAACCACGAGTGCCCCACACAGTTAGAGGAGCAAAAATGGCCATTTCACACCACAAGGCTCACTTTAAACGTTCCACTGAGCCACACAGGTGTCTCATTTAGGAGAGAAAACGTGGTCTATAAGTGAATTCAGAAAAACAAAATTTCCTTGCAGGAGAGCCAGGAGAAATAGCTTTGAAAGTGCTCAAGCTGTGGTGTGAGCTCTAACCTTGCTGAGCTCCAACACTCTTGGTAATTTTAAACCTTGCTGTTCCACCCTAACACCTCCCTCACAGCTCAGGTTTGGATTTTTTTTCAGTTCCTAGCCTTCTCTGAGAAGCTAAAATAAAATGTGAGAGCATTTCTCTGTGTATTATAAATCTGTTTCACGTCATTGTTATAAAAACGTCAAACATAAGCTCAACAGTGATACTATTTAGAAATAACGCAAACCACCAAAGAGAGATCAGAGATGAACTGTGTTTCACCTGCTGCCCAGGTGAATTGCACCAGCAGTTAATGTGTGATGGCAGCTTTGCCACGTGAAGCACGAGGCACTTCAATCAGATTATACAATTCACAAAGCGCAGACAGTCCTGAGCTTCCCATGACAAAACCCTCACCTGTGGAGAGCAAACAGACTTTTTCCATCCCTGATACAATCTGGCAGATTTATAGGTGAATTTGTCAGTCAAAAAAGCTTGTGCAACAGGGCAGAGCAGAAGAGTGCCAGCAGAAGCCATGCACACTCCCTGTCTTCCTGCTTATTTCCAGCTCCCCCTGTTACAGACTGATGTCCTTGTGAAGTCCCTTTCAGTAATGCTTGTTCTCACCAGACAGGTTCACTGTGAAGGCAACAATTCTTGCTACTTTCTGTTGTGGAAAGCACTGCAAGTGGAATCCCCCCTTTTTTGAAGATCACATTTCCTAAGTGGTTGCCCCTTCTTCACACATCAGAAGTTGAATCATGCAACACAAAAGACGTGTGGTGACTACGTTTCTATCTGAGGAAACTGGGGACAGCAGCGAGGGGAAGGAAGAGGTAGGTAAAAGAATCAATGAATCAACGTAAATGAATGGCACTCTGAGTGTCAGGCTCAGGCTGAATTTCAGTACGCAGTTCCTTCCAGGAAGATTTCAAAGTAGTTTATCAGAAAATAGCGTAAACTTGGCACAGACAGAGACATGACTTAATCTCAGGTCTCCCAGTAAGGCAACAGTGGAAGCACTGTTTCCGGAGTCCACTGTCCCAGCTGGTAGAGCACAAGCACTGAAAACAAGAGGGATCCTTAATTGCCAAAAAAACAGTAGTGAGCAGGAAGGGACAGCAAACATAGTCTCCCATCACTGCTGAACTTTCCAGGGAGTGGCAAAGAAGTGGCAAAGAAGGAAAAAAGGGAAACAGAGAAATACTCTATGCGCCATGCCTCAGAGATGAAACCAGGCTGCTGCTGGGGAGAGAGAACGCAGCTGGGCTCACAGCTGATGCAGTACTGAGGCAAATCCATCATCCTTGGGGCAGGAATACCCTCCTCTTGCTGCAGCTGAGGGCCACGCTGCTTTGCCAAGGGAGGGGAATGGTGCTCCTAAGAAGCCTTGGAAAGCTTGGCAGCTGTTGGGAGTGAGAGGAGAGGACAGTGCTGGGAGGAGGCCAAGGGTGACCCTGCAACTTGGTGACTTGAATAGCTGGAAATACAAGTATCGGAAAATTGGGTGACAAATTTGAGACAGGGACCTGCATAGGGAGGGGCAGCAGGAAGCAGCTGATAGTGATGGCTGCAGGGGCAGCTGCAGTAACCGGGCGGGCAAGCGGATGGGGAAAAGTGAAGTGAAAGGAGGAAAATGAGGAAGGAAAAGGGCAAAACTAAGACTGCCAAGGAGAGCCAACAGGAGATGGAAGTAGCCTTGAAACAAAGTGCAGGTAGCTCTAGGAGATACTTCTCTGTCCTGAAGCAGCAAATACCTCTTGTGAGGGATATTCTGGATGAAGGTGATATTACCATGCGGAGACATCAGTAAATAGCTTCTTTCTTTATTCTTTCCTTCATTGTTGTTGCAGCACAGGTTTTATGTGCATTTCTCTGCTGGCACGGAAGGCAAAGACTCACTATGATATCCATGCACAACCTTGACTGTCAGCTATCTTCTCTGCTTTGACTTTTAACCTGTTTCTATGGCTAATTACATCTCTTTTTGTTATGCTTCCCTAGTGGGCATTAACTCACTTCCAAAAAGAAGACAACCTGTATGGTCTCTATGCTTTGCCCTCAGCTTTAACTGTCTTCATCACTGGGATGCAACAAACGTTCATTTTCCCTTATCAAGAACACCAAACACTTTGAAGGAAAGCAGTTACAACTTCCACCTCACTGGCTCTGCCCACCCCACTAAGAGCAGCCAAATTTCAGGAAAACTTCACTACAGAACACATCAGAACGCTGGATTTGCTCATTTAATGTTGGTAAATAAACACCCCGCTCACTTTTTATCACTGTGAGGCGTGTGCTCTGTGGTTTGCTCAGTCTGTGCCACAGCGCAGCACTACTGGAAAGCTCTCAGAGCACCGAAGAGGAAATGCGTGCCAAACCGTTCTGAGCGTTTTCACAAAACCGTTTGCTTCTCGTACCGAGAAAAAAAAACCGCTGAGCTGGCAAAACTCCATCCTGCTCTTCTGACCGAGGGCTGACCTCCCCCGGCCAGCTTCCCAGCACCGTGCCAGACCGTGGTAAAAGTGCTGTTGCCCAACCCAGCCATCCCAGGCTTCGTTTTCCCTCAGAGTCACTTGGTCCACATCAACGAAACCCGCCGCCGCCCCCCGCCATTTCCTGTCAGGAGCCGCTGCCGCGCGGGACTCCCGCCCAGAGCGGGCGCGACTCGCGGCCACGTGACGCTCCCGAGCGCGCTGGAACCGTCACGTGACGCAGGCGGTCACGTGAACGCGCGTGCGAGGCGCGAGGGCACGTCCTACGCCGAGGGTGGGGCGGCGGATGCGCATGCGCGGGCAGAGAGCGGGCTGGTGCGGGCCGGGCCGGGCGGCCGCTCCCCTCGCTGGCAGTGCTCGCTAAGATGGCGGACTTCCTGCCGTCGCGCTCCGTGCTGTCGGGCTGCTTCCCCGGCTGCCTGCTGACCAGCGGCGAGGCCGAACAGCAGCGCAAGTCTAAGGAGATCGATAAGTGCCTCAACCGGGAGAAAACCTACGTGAAGCGCCTCGTCAAGATCCTGCTGCTGGGAGCGGGCGAGAGCGGCAAGTCCACCTTCCTCAAGCAGATGCGGATCATCCACGGGCAGGACTGGGACCGGGCGGCCCGCGAGGAGTTCCGGGCCACCATC